AAAGAAAAGAAAAGAAAAGAAAGAAAGAAAGAAAGAAAGAAAGAAAGAAAGAAAGAAAGAAAGAAAGAAAGAAAGAAAGAAAGAAAGAAAGAAAGAAAGAAAGAAAGAAATAGAAAAAGGAGGGGAGCCTGGTGTGTGTGTGTTTGCCTTCCAGCAATCGGTGAAATATAGAAGGAAAAAAGGGGGAAAAATCACCCAGTGTTCTGCCTGTAAATCCTAGCCAGGATCCATGTGGAAGGAGGGGAGCCTGGTGTGTGTGTGTTTGCCTTCCAGCAATCGGTGAAATATAGAAGGAAAAAAGGGGGAAAAATCACCCAGTGTTCTGCCTGTAAATCCTAGCCAGGATCCATGTGGATGTGTGTGTGTGTGTTTGCCTGCCAGCAATCAGTGAAATATAGTAGGGGGGAAAGGGGGAAAAAATCACCCAGTATTCTGTCTGTAAATCCTAGCCAGGATCCATGTGGATGATGTGATCACTGGTGCTCCTGCAGACAAGAAATAAAAGGAAGGCAGATTTTTTAAAAATACAATAAATGATAGGAATATGCAAGCTTTTTTAAAAAAATACTTCTGCAATTCAAAACCTTGTTTGTTTTGTTATACAAATGAGGCATCAGCATTTTATTCTCAAAGGCGTTCACAGCCGGGATCCGATGGTTGTTGTGGGTTTTTCGGGCTCTTTTGCTGGGGTTTGGGGGGTTTTTTTTCTTAATGTTTGGCTAGCCAGTCTCTGTGGCCGGCATGTTCAGAGGACAGGAGCTAGAATTCTCCTGGACTAGAACACAGACCGAGTTTTAGCTCCAGTCCTCTGAAGATGCCGGCCACAGAGACTGGAAAAACGTTAGGAAGAAAAACCTCCAGAACATGGCCAAAGAGCACGAAAATCCCATAACAACCAACATCAGCAATTGTCCAGCTGTCGCTGTTCTTCTGTCATGTATCTGTTTTATAACCTACATGTTGTTCTCTCTCTATCTCTCTCTTAATTCTGTCTCACATAATTTGGGTTCAATCTGGTGGTGACACAGCTCTCATTTTGGACCGCTCGGGACACTGTCCAGGGCAAGCTATATTCTAGTGCCAGGAGGAGGCACAGAAGACAATGAGGACCAGCCTGCCCCTAATCTGTGCCCAATTCCAGACCGCTTTGGTCCGGTAGCAGGGTCGCCTCTTTTTGAATGAGACTAGAGACGGGCATGAATCAGCTGTTCGTGCCACTTTGGCAGACAGAGAGCACAGGTGTTCTGTGGTCTGGGCCACTCGGCCCTTCCCCGCGGGCACCTCCTCTGAAGCAGCCCCTTGGCTTCCCTGCCCCAACCCCCCTGGGCATGGCCTGTGATGGGGCAACCGCTGGAGGAGGTGGGGTGCCGAACCACAGAACACCTGTCCGGCCACCTGCCAGACCAGCACAGACCACTGGACCGGCGTTTTGTGCCCATCTCTAAACAAGACAAACTCCACTGAACGGGAGGAAGAGATGAGAGCTTCAAGGAACACGAGTCAGCCCTCCCCATATATGTTAGGATATTTGTTTGTTCAATGCAGGGATGGCAACCTGTCCCCGACAGAGGTTTCGTACTACAAATCCCATTGCTCTTTGGCCATGCCTACTGGGCCTTCTGGCAGCTGGATGTCCCAAGGGTTTAGAGCAGTGATGGCGAGCCTTTTTGAGCCCAAGTGCCCAAATCAGCAGGTCCCCTCCAGGCTGGCTCCCGTCCTCTGGAGGGGGCACCTTTTCCCCCCTCCCCAAATATAGACAGGACCCTCGTCGGGACTTCCAGCACTACACCCCACCCCACATGCTCGCTCTCCTGCGGTACCAGAGACGCAGTCAATGGGCAGCCACGAGGGGCGCCCGAGCGTGGCTTCTCCTTTGCCTCCTCCTGCTGCTCGATTGCCTCCTCCAACGCCACTCGCAGGCTCTCTTCAGCCCGGGAACAAGGCAGCAGCGTGGGTTCAATGCTGAGCCCCAGCAGCGAGCAGTGCCGTTCCCCGCAGCGGGCTCGCATGGGCAGCAGCATCGGCATGGCTCACATCCCAACAGAGAGGGCTCTGCATGCCCACTGTGGCACGCGTGCCATGGGTTCGCCATCACTAGTCTAGAGGGTCACTGTTTCCTGACATCTGGCTTCATGCATACAGATGAAAGGGACCAGCCCATCTGATTTGGATGAGAAGTGGAATCTGCAATCCAGATTCACTGGATGCATGCGTGCAGGATGGGGGTGATCCAGAACCGTGCACTAACCCCAGCCGATCAGGACGAATCTCCAGGCGTACTGCTTGTCGGGGACGAACGTCAGCACCAGCAAGGTCTGTAGATACATGCCTTCCACCAGCAACCAGAAAAAATTGGCTAAGATGCTCAACTGGAAGAAAGCCATCGCTGCTTTGCACGTCACCTAAAGGGCAGGGGTGGAAGAGAGCAGGTGGTTTTCAAAACCGGAGACGACTTTGGACCACAGGCGTGGAAGAGAAGAGAGCAGGCGGTTTTCAAAACCGGAGACGACTTTGGACCCGGCGTGACACTGATTGCTAGAGATGGACACGAACCGTACTCCGAACCAGAAAACACCATGAACCGGGCTGGTTTGTGGTTTGTTCTTGTTATTTGTTTAGCCAAAGCAAAACATAGCCCTGAACATTTTTTCGCTTGGGGCTTCATTTTGCTTTGGCAAAACCGGTGCCCGCCCTCGTCGCCCCCTTCCCCACTGCCCCTGTCTGCTCCCTACCTGGTCCCGTGCCTCATCCTTTGCCATCGGCATCATCTTCAGAGACAGAGGCCCAGCTTTCCTTCCAGAAGCCAGGCCTGCTATCTCTGCCGACGTGCAGACCATCTTCCCTTCCCTTCCCTGGAAGTCTCTGGTGGCAGTGGCGGGCAAGATGACAAAATCAGGTAGGGAGATGATGTTGCACTCTCTGGGGTTGTGACATGCCCCCCGTGAGCACGACATGCCCTCCTCAAGGGCAACACGCCCACCGTGAGCACAACACGCCCACTGTGCACACAGGGGGGGGGCAGCAGAGATCCATCTCCACAGCCCAGTCCTAGGAAGCCCACGGACCGGTGTGAGTGCAACATGCCCACTGTGCACACGGGGGGGGGCAGCGGAGATCCACCTCCACAGCCCAGTCCTAGGGAGCCCACGGACCGGCACCAGGCCACAGACTGGGGGTTGTGGACCCCTGCACTAAGTTAACACAAGGATGGGGCAAAACAAAGAGAAATCAGTAGAGAAATGTAAGTCAAAACAGGAAAATGTCAAGGCCAGGTGGTCAAGAGCACCTTAAGCCTTTAACAGAGTATCGCAGGTAAAACTGCATACCGTAGACACCAGACAGTGGTCCATGCTGTCGTCGGAGAACAGGACGGCATCCTTGATGAAGACGGCCACCGCCCTCAAGATGAACGAGAGAAACAAATGCATGTGGATATAATTCCGAGTACAATGGAATTTCCTGGAAAGGAAGCAGAAAAGGAAACTATTATTTGGCAGAGTAACGTCATTGCAATGGACCTGATAAGGGACTCAGAGCATCCGGCCAAGGTAGCCCACGACTGGAAGAAGCCACGGCACAGTCAAGTGTATAAACCCCTGTGTCTTCTCCAGGAGCCACATGCCGTTCTTCTGAATGCCATCTGAGAAATAATAAAGCCATTTTCCAGAGTTTGATCCCCCGTTCAATCTGCTCCTAACAGCAACTCATGATTCTTGGGGCATGCACTCACACTGGCTTGGGGCATGTGTGCACACCCCTGGAAATCATGGCGGGGGCTTTTTATTTGCCAATTAGTTCCTGAAAGCCGAGATGGCTGAATCGCTCAGAGGCTGGGAGTTCGATTCCCCATTTGTGCCTCCCGGAAGAAAACCCAACCTGGGTGGCCTTGGGCCAGCTTCACCGTCCCACAGTGCCCCTAGAGGAAGGGAAAGATAATGCACTTCTGAGGACTGAGAAAACCTTGGAAAAGGATCACCATAAGTCAAAATGGACTTGAAGGCATATAGTTATGGATTATTAGAACAGGGCAAATAAACTTTCCTTCCAAATATTTTGGACCCCATCCCAGAATCCTGAAACGGTTTTATTAATTAAATCTTAATGAACAGACACGTCTGGTATTAACAGAGCCTCCCCCACATGCCTGTTCCTTAGCCTTTCAAATGAAAAAAAAAAAACACTGAGGGGACTTCCTGTTTTTTTTAAGGCTTTGCAGGCATAAAACAGTTGTTGGGGGGGGATTATGTACAAAGGAAGATCATGTCACCAGGGGAATTGTGATTTTGGAACAAACCTTCTGGGGTGAAGGAGGGGTGCGGCCCGCCAGGGCCAGATGGAGAGCAAAGGCGTTCCCCACTCCATTTCCTCAAAAGTTGCAAACCAGCTCTGCCTGGGATTAATATTCCATAGGCAAATGCTGGCTTTGGAAAGATTTTGACAAATAGAGGGGATCCTTGGGAATCCACCCAGTCCCTGGGGGATTACAGAAAAGATGCACTTACCGGAAGACAGTAAAGATGAGAAGAGCAGTCATGAGGGAAGCCAGAGACGTTGCATAGCCTGTTGTGTAGATATGCCAGAATGCCAAATAGTACGATTTCTGGGAGGGGGAGAAAATTCGTAAGTAGAGGTTCATAGAAAGAATTCAGATCCTTGTGGAGAAGGATGAACCCAATGCCGTGGGAGCAGTGAATCCATACCAGATTTTACTGGAGCTCTCCACAATGCTTCATCCTATCTCCAAAACAGAGTCAGCCACTTGGATAGCCCTTGCAAAGTTCGGATTCACCGTACCCTTTGACATTTGATTTGCCAGCCCTCTCTGCTTTGAAAACCAGGAGATTCCTCCACAGGAAGAAAAACGGACATCGTGTGTCCTCAACCTCACAAGCAAGGAAGAGAAAAGCGAAAAAACTTGCCTCCCCTGCTAGTTCTCACTGACCTGATCTTCTGGGTCCTTTGTCATGTCTTCTTCAAATCCACAGGCAATGGAATATGGTGGGAATGGCTCTGACCAGTATGTGCCTCGGGTGCAATTTCTGTGCAACAGCCCTGTGAAAAACACTGCAGTGAAGCAACTGACAGGGCTGAGAAATGGTAAGAACAACATTTCCTGGCCCCACGCAATGTCAGCGGTATACGTTGACACGAGTCCTATTCAGTCATTATGTGGACTGGCTCGCAGAAACATGCTTAGGGAAAACAGCCTCTCCATCCTGCTTTCTCCTCAGAGAGAAATGAGGGATTCATATAATAACCTCAGAACAGCAGAGATGGAAGGGACACTCTGGATCATCAAGTCCAGCTCCTGTCAAGGAGGTCCAGTGGGGGAATCGACCTCCCAACCTCTGGTTTCTCAGCCAGAGACCTAACCCATTTAGCTAATGGGTACTCTCTCCTTGTGAGCAAGAATCCCAATTTTTCCAGGGCTCTGGCTTACATGGAGAGCCTCCTGTGAGCAGGAATTCTCTCTCTCTCTCTCTCTCTCTCTCTCTCTCTCTCTCTCTCTCTCTCTGTGTCTCTGTGGACATGCCACTCTTCATGTGGAGAAAGGGACAGAGCAGAGAGAGAGAGACAGAAGGTCATTCTCTCTAAGCGTGTAACCGAGAACTAGAAGAGTAGTGACTGAACAGGGCTATTGTCATTACTGAAAAACAAGCTGCCAATAAGCTTAAACTAGGAGAAATGGCAGCAAGGAACATTGCCACTGGCCACGTTGACTGGGGGGAAGTGGTGGCTGGGTCTAGGAAAGTAATGTGGCCATGCTAGAGCCAGTACTGTTTGTTATAACACATAAGGAGGGGGATTTTTTACCTGGATCCTTCCTGCTCCATAGCAGTTCTAGGTGGTATGGACAAGAGGTCCCGCAGCCAGTTAGCAATAAAGCTAACTGTATAACCTGAGGAATGTATGAAATGACCATCTATGACCCATTGAATGACTAGGGTCTTCAATAAGAACTCTCCTTGGTATGAACCCCTGGATTCCTCTCACTAGTTTGGGAGAGAAGGAACAAAGCAAATTTCCAAACTTCACTTGTCCCCTTCTCTCGTTAACCTAACTTGGGCAAGTGACTTGGTTGACTACGACTCCCAAAATATGACAACGAGAATGGCCTGGTAGTTGTGGGAGTTGTTATTCAAAAAAAGAGGATGGTTTCCGAATCATTGGTTTTGGAAAATCTTGCTTGCGTGCTCTAGAACCTGTCAACCTAGTTGTAGGGGTTCTGCTTTTTGCCTTCAACCCAGCTAGGCCCTGACCAAGAAATATACTGAAGACAACATTTCTTGCCACGTATGTTGGTGATTTCTTGGAAAAATCCTGGACATGGGATCATGACCACTTCCCCGAACGTGGCTTTGGGCCAGCAACTCAGTCCGTCCCAGATTCCTGGACACCCTGGAGAGAAAGGAAATGTGAAGCTGTGGATTAGAAATGGACATCAATGCTTTAAAAAAACAAATCACCAAAATTGTTCAAAAATTTGCTAATTTGTCGATTCGCGTCCATACGAATCAATGTCCTCAATGAATACGAAAACAAATGTTTAGTGATTTTTGATTCATTGATTCATTGTGCTATAAAATGGCACCCCAGCCACCCAGAAACACCAAAATTGCACAGAAGCTTCCTCTGACTCTCCTCTACAATTTCACCTACAAACACCAAAATTGCACAGAGGCTTCCTCTGACTCTCCTCTACAATTACTCCAAGTTTGGTGAGGATTGGGTTTCCCCAAGCCAGCTGTTAAAGGGCATGTTCCTTGGTGGACCCACTTTGTGGGTGAATCCACTACATGGATGTCTGAAACCCTATCTTCATCAAACATGGAGGGATTACAGAAGTGCGTCAGGGGAAGCTTCCCTGCAATTTGGATGTCTTTAGCTCCTAGAGGGAATTTTCCTGGGGCACCCTCCTTTTGAGTGGGCATCCAAAACCCAAACTAAATCAAACCTGCCAAGCTTATAGAAGAGAGTCTGGGGAAGCATCCCTGTGAATCTGGTTTCTCTTGGTGCTTAGGGAGGCATCTTATAGAGTTTTAAAATTAAAAAACCACAAATTATGAATAGAGTCATTGATTTGTCAGAAAAATTTGTACATTTGTAATTCGTCATTCGTTGACTTCGATGAATCATGAATCAAAACGAATCACTATTTTTCTGATTCATGCCCATCTCTACGGTGGATATATTTATTCATTTAATGGATACTCTACCAGAAGAGGGACTTGCTGATCAGTAAGCATTGGATACTCTATCAGAAGAGGGACTTGCTGATCAGTAAGCATGAAATACCCTTTAACATCAAAATCTTAATTAAAATTTGATGTGAAAACAATAAAAACGGAATGAAAAGAAGCGTGAAACAAAATAAATCACTAGCACTCATAGGGTCAGTTTCCCCTAAGGGAGTTCTGGGTAGCCCCTCAGGGCTGCATAATACCCCTTGGGGGCTACTTTGAGCCTTTAGACCACCCTCTGCCCACCCTAAAGTACTGTTTATGAAATCATCATCCTAATCACCGTCAATCCACATATTTGCACAGGATACTCACTATGCTTTGGTTCTCAACCCTGGGTCCCCAGACGTTCTTGGACTACAACTCCCAGAAGCCTTCTCCTCTAGTCTTATTGGCCAGGATTTCTGGGAGTTGTAGTCCAAGAACACCTCAGTTACCCAAGGTTGGGAACTACTGCCATAGTGTAAAAGCATAAATGAGGCAGGAACATCCAATTATAAAACCAGGCCCACAACCACTACCTTCAAAACCTGGAACCAGTGATTCATTTTTCTCCAAACAGTGAGCTTCATCTTCCATAATCTGTTGGAGTATTTTACACTCTGGATGGATTGAAGCAACCTGGACAAAAGAAAACAGTCCCCATTATTTCACTGAAACACATTAATACACTCTTCAGATGCACACTGTCTCTTGCTCTCCAAGGCACCTTAATAAGAACGCCAGCGAAGTAGAGATTAGGATAAGAGATGTACTTTAAGCTGCTGCATATCCTAAAATGTTCCCGACAGATACACTTGCCAAACTAAGGATGGTCTAACATGTCTTACAAATGTTGCAGCGTTGAGCGCTCAGACAAGTTATTCGTTTGACTGCAACTCCCCAAGTTCCTTCAACAAATCTCGACCCTGGAAGCTGGAGACCAACAAAGGTGGTATATCTACATATGCACAAACTGGATCTCTATTTAAAAATTAGAACCCAATTGGGAGTGTCAGACGGTACGTTTTTCGGGGAATCTTGATGGTCAAGAAAGAGAGGGGGGGAAATAGAAGGGGGAGGAGAGAGAGGTTGTTATATAACTGTTGTAGACCGTGCCATGTTCGACTCATGACAACCTTAAGAGGGTTTTGGAAATATGGGAAACGTGTAAGGATTGGTTTATTCTTGCCACACTCTAGTGAGTTTCCATGACCAAATAGGCATTTGAACCCAGGACTATAAGCCCTGTTCTGCCAGTCTACCCACTGCACCATACTGGCTGTCAGAAACATATACAGACAGATGATACCAGATTTCATATCATATCAGACCACACAAAGAGCCAGTTCTCCATAATGAAGTAAACTGATTACTCTGAAAAGGGCAATCTGATTTCCATTTCAAAAGATTCTATTGAGAGCTTCCATATACTATATTCCAAAATATTTCTATTGTATTTTTTTCCCCCGCCTTCCTTTTTGGCTGCCTAAGATGCTCTTCAAGAATGGCAAACATATGAAATTGTAGACAGTTGGAATACGTTGATGGCTGCTTTTGAAAAGGCATGAGAGGAAGAATTAAGATACAGCCGTTCCATTGTTGGGTGTTTAATATAGAACGGTGGGAAATGGCATGCCACATCTCGAGTCAACAGATGAGCTAAGTCCAGACTCTGCATTCTTTTTGCTGTCAGACACCTGGGGAACTGAAAGAAAGGGGAGCTGGGCTCTATTCCAGATGTGCTGTGGTAGCGGCTAACAAGGATGAGATTTCCAGATTTATTGGACTGTATATTCTGCAGTTGTGGGAGAGCACCTTATGGAGACCTAAATGTGGGTCTCCTGGAAGAAAAGGCCTAATCTGGACGTCTTTCAGACTCAGCTAGGCCTAGCTCCCCTACAACTTCCTGTTTCTGCCCTAGTGCTTGCTGGGACCTTTCTTTCTGAACAGGAAGCTAGGCCTAGCTAGGCCTCAAAGTGTGCCAGTTTAGGCCTTTTTTTCATGTTCAGGTGTTTGTAAGCCACGTGTTCTTGTTGTTTAGTTGTTAAGTCCTGTCTGACTCTTCGTGACCCCATGGACCAGAACACGACAGGCCCTCCCGTCTTCCACTGCCTCCCGGAGTTGGGGCAAATTGATTTTGGTCACTTCGGTGACCCTGTTTGGCCATCTCGTCCTCTATCGTCCCCTTCTCCTCTTGCCTTCACACTTTCCCAGCATCAGGGTCTTTTCCAGGGAGTCTTCTGTTCTCATGAGATGGCCAAAGTACTGGAGCCTCAGCTTCAGGAACTGTCCCTCCAGTGAGCACTCAGGGTTGATTTCCTTTAGAATTGATAGGTTTGTTCTCCTTGCAGTCCAGGGGACTCTCAAGAGCCTCCTCCAGCACCACAATTCAAAAGCATCAATTCTTCGGCGGTCAGCTTTCTTTATGGTCCTTCTCTCACTTCCATACATCGCGACTGGAAAAACCATAGCTTTGACTATGTGGACCTTTGTCGGCAAGGTGATGTAAATCAGCTAGAACTCCCATAATGGGGAATTATGGGGTTGTTAGTACTGAAAATCCCACCTCTAGTGGCTAACCAAGAAGAAAACTTACAAATTCTTCTCCTTAGGAATTTTTCTCCAGATACCTCAATGGCCTGATGCATTTAGAGATTTTACAGCTCAGCCATACTTTGAAGTTAGCACCACCACATGCGCTATTCATGGTGATTTTAATTTTGCAATCATTTTTTTCTTAAGTTACCAATGCTCAGGAGCAGTTCTGCACATTGATTTTAGTTTCATGCATGGGGAAAATAAAGGAATCCTGATGCAGGATTGTAGTACGGTCCCTCCAACACTGTGTGGATGCTTGCACCATTGCCTGGACAGAGGGAGAGATGTAAATTCAAAAAATGTGGCAAACTGTTCACACACCGAAGCAAAGTACAGAAAAAGAGTAAGTAAGAATATAACAAAAGACACTACCAAATTCAGGAAGTTATGGTTGCAATTTACTTCATAAGAATTTGCCAAGTACCCTCGGCCAAGCGACTGCTTCTCTTGGTTCCTTGCTGCCAATATTTTGACACTGAACTAAATAATTTTTAACTCAGAAATTGGGGGACTTAGAGGGGTGGATTTCTTAATAAATATGTGTGACAGTGCCTGAAACTGCCTCTGAATGACAATCCCCATTGAAGAGAATCCTTCATGGATTCACAGAGACAGCATAAAGAGCAAAAATTACCTCTAACTACAGGACTGAAATCCTTCCTTCCTTCCTTCCTTCCTTCCTTCCATCCTTCCTTCCTTCCTTCCTTCCTTCCTTTATCAACTTAGAACTGCAGAGTTGGAAGGGACCCTCTGGATCCTCCAGTCCAGCCGCTGTCAAGAAAGCCCAGCGGGGAATCGAACTCCCAACCAAACCGCTGAGTTATCCAGCCATTCTTGGCTCTGCTTCTTTCATTGCCTTAGCAGTGGTGGCCCTGGGTGTACTTTGCTTAAAAATTCACGTTCTGTTTTTATAAAGCAGATTCCGACATAAAAGTTGCTCCTTGGCTTGGATTCTATTGACTGAGTCATTAAGATTGTTCTTATAGGAAGAAGAGCTGCTTCTTCAGACTTCTTTGTACTACAACTTCCAGAATCCCCCCGTCTAGCATCTAGCAAGGGGTGGCAGGATTCTGAGACTTGTCGTTCTGAAAGCAACGTTTCCACACTTTGGACTATATCCATATTCAGTATTTATTGCTTTGATCTTCTGCAATTATGTTAATGATGCCTGGCAAATCAGATTTAAATAACCAGACATTAAAATAAAGTAGAACATTTAATTAACTGCAATGCTTAAAATATCATCCTTAGTTTAAAAAAAAAACACCAAGGAGAATTGATGCACTAAAGATCAAAGTCCTGTCTGTTAAATATATCTTCCTTCTAAAAAGGGACTGTTAGTAATACACACTTCACATCAATATGTGAATGCATGAATATATGAAGTATTTTTCATTCTGGATTAAACTGGAAGCACATTTAGAGGTAGCTCTGTAGTTCAGGTAAATTTCAAGGAAAGCCTGAATTTTTTTTTTTTTTGAAAGAGCAGAAAAATGGGGGTCTCCATGTTTTCCCACATGCACACAGTCAGGTTGTAGAGAAAAGTGCTGAGATTTATTCGGGACCTCAGGTAAGACAATGGAGGAGTTTCAAGAATAGGGAAAACTTGCCTGAGGAAGGAGAGCAAAGATGGGGCCAAGCTGGCCTCCAGTGGGAAGGAGTTCCAAAGTCTGGGAGCAGCTACAGAGAAGGCCCTCTCCTACATCCCCACCAAATGCACCTATGAAGGTGGTGGGACCAAGAGAAAGGCTTCCCCTGTTGATCTTAACACCTGAGCAGGCTCATAAAGGGAGATGGGAGCAGGGGGTTGGACTTGATGGCCTTAGAGGCCCCTTCCAACTTCATGATTCTATGAATATCATTTGATTTGATTCTAGTGAACACATGTGCTGGAACTGGACCAAAATGAAGTGACCCACGTTAAAAAAACACACAAACCACGAAGCCCTAATAGGAAGCCAAAAAAGTGTGGATAGGTACGCATTGGGTACAGGTTGGTTTGTTAAAACACACACACACACACAAACAATGAAAAAGAGCCAACATGCTGTCCCCACAAGGAAGTGAACAGTGGGACCGTTAAAAAAACACACAAACCACGAAGCCCTAATAGGAAGCCAAAAAAGTGTGGATAGGTACGCATTGGGTACAGGTTGGTTCACAATGGCACTATGTTTTGTGGTTTCCATGAAAAAGAGCCAACCCACTGTCCCCACAAGGAAGTGAACAGTGGGACAATCCCCATTACATTGGACGTATTGTTTGGACCTTTGTGGTCAATCCGTCCATCCTGTTGTGTCTGGATGCTTGTGGGTTTGTGTGTGTTTAAGTTCAGAACGGGAAAAGGTACAGATTTTGTGCAAAACCAAGAGTTTTGCACAAATTCTGTTTCGTACATATTGCGAACAGCAGCAGTAGGTTGAAGGATCACTTGGCATCTCAGTCTGATCCTGGAACCGTGACTCTCAAGCACATCGGAAAACTCTCAAAGTGCTCTTACACTATATCGAGATTCCTAGTCTACAATCACAGCAGTGCTGGGACTTCTTCAAATTCCTAGCAACAACACAGATGTTAAAACATGGACATATTCACCTGGAAGGAACCTGTTTTTCAGTGTCACAAGGCAATCCCGCATTGGGTGCATTACAGGAGTCCAAACCCAAGGAGATTAGAGCATGGATCAGTATGGCAAAATAATGGGAAAGATCCCAGCCCAAAACTATGGAATTGGAGCATATGAAATCCGGCTGCAGCTTTTTGAAGGGACGAAAAGACCGGAACAGTCTTAACGCATCGGTTCAACTTTATAAATACTCGAGATATTTTGAGCTCTCTTACAAAATTCAAAGTAGGAGAAATCCGGAATCAGCCTGATGTGCTGGAGAGGCCGTTTGCCAAACGTCTGAAGCAGCACAGCACAACGCTTTCCCTTTTAGCTCACCCTTTCTTGACAGATGTGTCTGGTGTGTGTTCGTATGTGTGAAATACGAGTGAGTGAGTGAGTGAGTGACAACCCCATATGTCAAGATAATCCTTAT